TACTTACAATGGCCTTGGGCATTACCACGAACGCGCAACGCGCGTTGCTAAACTAGTTATGTAACATAAGTTTCATGATCCTTAATACGACGTAAGTGCTCTTTCATGATCATGTCAAATTCAAGACAAATAAAGATAAATAAAACACAATTTATTGAAATAATAGACAGTCACACAAAGCCAATTTGTTAATCTGGTTTGGCCGTTCGTCTTCTAACTTTGTTGGTCAATTTGTAGGCTTCTTCAAACGCAGCAGCGATAGAATTAATCAATTAAACAAAGCCATGTCTTTTATATTTAAAAGTACATACATATAATAGGAAAATAGCTAAAATATTGGGCCCCTAAATTTTTGACGTTTTTGGGGCCCTGAGGCCCATGCCTCAGTGGCCTCACAGTAGGCACGACCCTGGTCATCTACAGTAACTTCAGTCTAAACAGTCAGAAAAGTAAAAATTACGTGTTTGGTGAAAAAGTTAGTTGATAATTAGCCTGATAAACCGAAAAATAGTGGTTCCAAACGGGCTTTTAGACTTGTAATAATTTTTTTGGTATGTAGTTGTGAATATGAGTATTAGGTCGGTGGAGCCTAAACTTGAATGTACTAGTGCGGCATAATAAAGACCTAACCCGAACAGATATATTTTACATGACCCTACCCAGAATATTCATATACGGATTATCCATATAAATTACGGAATATGAGGGTGTTTGGAACTAATTCTGCTTCTGCTTCTTTTTTAAAGTAGAAGTAGAAGCAGAATCAGAATCAGTTTTCAGAAGCTGGTTACCCTCAGCTTCTAAAATACTGATTCTAGGAGTAAATTTGAGTACCAGAATCACTTCTGCACTTTCATCCAAACACTCCAGCTTATGTTTCTGCTCCCTGAAGGAGTAGAAACAGTTTTAAGAATCAGATCCAAACACCCCCTATATGTTTGTGGGTTGTTTAGTGGTTTATCTGAGCCAAGCGGATAGGCTAAAAAAATATAGCCAACCCGCCCATGTGCTGTAACACCGTCCCCAAATATATTTACTTTTATGTAAATAATGTATTGAACCTTATTAAAGGATTAATGAAATTACGAAGTTGTAAATTTTTATTATTTCTTTCGCATGAATAGTAAATTGCACGTGAGACCCACACCGGGAGCGGGGGGGCGGCCCGACATCTCCGAGACTATATATTTTATTCATCTTGGTCTAGATAATAAATATATAGTGGTGGATATTTCATCTGGGCCATGGAAAGACCCGGAGTTGACCGATTGGTCAAATGAAGCCCAAATTTCCGGTACTGGTAATTTAACGGATAACAGTCCGAAAATGAATTTCGAAGACTTCCAAATTAAATTTTTGGAATATATATTATTTCAAAGGGGCGTTATGATTGAGAACACATAATATATTTTATTTTTCCCGATAAAATAAAATATGATTAAAACAGTCCGAAAAATACAACTTTCGGGACCGATTGTACACACCGGGACACAAAGGGATGACCTCCCACATGAGTGGGGGCCACCCCACGTTTTTATATGCTCAAATTGACTAGATGAGAGCTGGTAGTACACTTGATGGGAGGGTGAGACAATTGGAGACATCAAAGGGGTCCCTCCCACCCTTATTAGCTCAATGGGACAAAAAGAACCCATCCCCCTCTTCCTTCATCATTGTACTCGACCAAAGCACCAAGGAGAGGCAAGAGAGAGCTCTCAAACTAGCTTCCATTGCTGCAGCACGAGCTCAAGGAAAAAGGGGTCCAAAGGAGAGGATTAAAGAGGGAAAAAGTGGGGAAAAGTGTGAATAATTAAGGTAATGACCTTATTATAACTTCTCTTCATTTTTCTTTCTACCATATGAGGTATATATCATGTGAAGGACCCTTAGTATGGTTCCACATGTTATAAGTATGGATTAATGGGTTGGAAAGGGATTCTATGTCCAAGAACGGACTTAGAAGTCAAAACGACCGGTTCACCGGAAAATAACCGTTTTGAGGTTATTTGTATTAATATGGGTTTTATGATTATAAAACCTTGTTAGGCACTTGTAAAGGGTATTTCAAGTGATTTCACAAAGTTGGAAAAAGTCGCCGGAGTTGTCGCCGGAGTTGACCAAGTCGCCGGAGTTTCACCGGAGTTCAACCAAGAAGGGTAGAACTTCTTAACGCTAGTTCAAGGTGAGTGGACGGCTTAATATCTTATAACTTTTGGGTTAATTATGAGATTACCTAAATAAATGTTATATGTGTTCATAATGATGTTTAAAAGATATTTAAACATGTGATTAGCCAACATTATCAAGTTGTATGAAAAGAATTAATTGTTTATGCATGAAATATGATATGAGGAATTATATAAAATGCACATTAGCTTGAAGTGTAAAAGAAGCTCAAATGAGTATTATTGACTTAATTATATGATGATTAAGTTGATATGTACAAGGCTTGAATTGGCGGTCAACGACAACGTTGACCGATGGATGATGGATTAATTAATATCGGTTGATGTTAGTTAATTATACATTTATATAAATGCATGGCTTTGCATGGATTGTGATACATAAGATTTATGTATTGGATTAGTTATGAGTAACTAAGGATGATATAGAATCTATCTAGGTTGATAGGAGGTTGATCATAGGGAGATATTTTGGTGGAGGACCCTAGTACTTAAAAGTACTTAACACTCAAAACTTGGTGGAGGACCCTAGTACTTAAAAGTACTTAACACTCAAACTTGGTGGAGGACCCTAGTACTTAAAAGTACTTAACACTCAAAACTTGGTGGAGGACCCTAGTACTTAAAAGTACTTAACACTCAAACTTGGTGGAGGACCCTAGTACTTAAAAGTACTTAACACTCAAAACTTGGTGGAGGACCCTAGTACTTAAAAGTACTTAACACTCAAACTTGGTGGAGGACCCTAGTACTTAAAAGTACTTAACACTCAAAACTTGGTGGAGGACCCTAGGACTTAAAGTCCTTAACACTCAAACTTGGTGGAGGACCCTAGTACTTAAAAGTACTTAACACTCAAAACTTGGTGGAGGACCCTAGTACTTAAAAGTACTTAACACTCAAAACTTGGTGGAGGACCCTAGGACTTATGAGTCCTTAACACTCACAAACCGGTGGAGTATCCAAGGATTATGATCCTAAAACTCATAGATTATGATATACAATTAGGGACAAGGAGGAGTCCTATACACTCATAGGTATATGGGTGGGTTGGGGTTTTTAGTCAAGAATATTGACTATTACTATTTTTCCCAAATAAAATGGTGATCTACGGATCGGATATTTTCCAAGTATATATATACTAATAAGTATTTCATAACTTGTGGGAAAGACTATTTATTTAAGTATCACCCTATGTTTGGGTCTTATACTTGAAACGCTAGTTATTCTATATTTAGCCTGCTACTCGCTCGGTACTTGTACTGACCCCTTCGGGGGGCCCCACCATTTTCAGGTTGAAGCTAGGGCTTGCTACTTGCACCTTCTCACGGGTGGTATCATATCGGGAAGACGTGGTTCGTGCTTCCTTATTTTCTTTCAAACTACCGAACACTTGCTCATGGATATTTGTTTTACTATAAATTATTTTTGGGGCTTGCATGCCCATGTTGTTGGCCGGTTGTGGCTTATGACTTATCATTGAATATTTCCGCTATTCATTGGTTGAAATGTGATGTTGTTATGTATGTTTACTACTGAGTATGGATGGATTATATTCTCGAACGCCTTGTGTAATTAAGTGAGGTTGACTCGCGGGTGACGTCACTTGATTATACGGCGGTTGTACACGTGCTTGGATTGCGGTCTGGGGCGTGACATGTGCATCCCTAATTTACTCTACACCTCTTAAGTAATAACGACAAACAAAACAATACTCCCTCAGTCCCGCTAAGATTGTCCCATTTTATCTTTTCGGAAAGTCCCACTAAGATTGTCTCATACCATATTTGGTAAAGATTGTATGGCTCTAAATCATTCTAACTTTATTCTTACTTTATCAATTTAATACTAACCACACAAACATATTTTTCTTAATAATTGTGCCACCTTCTCCCGTCCCAATCTTAGTGGGACGGAGGTAGTATAAAAAATACTCCGTATACTTTACCGTAAATATACCTTCAGTAAAAAAAGGTACTTCATGAAGTTAAGGAAAAAGTTATTTTCTTAACACGCGTGATATTAAAACCAAGCAATTTAAATACTAGAAGTGATAATATCTCTTTGGCATTTCTATTTTTCAACATAAGTGATATTCTTCCCAAAAAACATACTACCCCTGTTCTCTTTTAATTGCAACATTGGACTTTTTGCACTATTCACATATTATACTTTGATTATATTTTATTTATTAATGTATTATAAATTAAATTTTTAAAAAATATTGTTGAATTATTCTCATTTTAAAATTTCAAAATCTGAATTTTTAAATTTTTTATCATAAAGTGGAAGTAAGTGATATCAAATTACACATATTTCAAATAAGCAAAATCATAAAAGTTGAGACAAATATAGATACATTACAAATAAATGTACATTTAATTATATGATATGATTTGAGGTAAATTTGATAATTTTTCACATTTTCTTTTGGACAATATCATTATCTGTATATTTATCAATATTTCCATAAAAGTACAGTACGCATATATATTTATCTATACTGATTTTTTCATCTTTAGTGAGGATAGTCAAATCATTGAAAATCTCTCCTTTGGCAAGAAAAAATTCTTGGAAATCATTGAACGAAAAAAGGATGGAGTCTATTCACAATCCTTTCTATCCTCTAGTGCTAAAAAGGGAGCTCTATCTTGACTTTTTCTTCATTTCTTCAATTGTGATCTTTTTATGTTATATTCATATACTCCGTTCTTGGTTAACATTCCTTTAATTTAGATAGTTTTAATTTTTAAGAAGCTAATACCGTACAATTAATACTTGTTTAAAGATTAAAGAGTTTGAATGACAAGTAGTAAAGGTAATTTAAAACAAATTATACACAGTACACTTCTTTCTAAAAGTCTTTTCTCTCTAATACTTCTCCCCTCCAAAATCATATTATAATCTACTTGTTTCCTCATCATTTTATATATCTCCATTAGATCTTCTCTCTCATATTTCTCGATCTCTTCTTATATTTCCCCCCAAACAAGAAACGTAACTCAAAGTATTTACTTAAAGGAAAGGAGATAGAAAGATGGACCACAACCCAAGCCTTCAGAATAATAATGTTTTAATACTAGTGGTTGTTTGTTTTCTCTTGATTGTATTAGTAGGGATTTTGGCTAATCATAAACACCACAAGTCAAGTGAAGCTGACACTGAGGACACGATGATCATGATGATGATTTCTCCTCTCCCTCCTTCGAATAACGTAATGATTCGGAAGACGATGAGACAACATTATTCTCTTAGCCATCACACTCATAACTCTATCATTTGTGTGAGTAAAAGAGCGGTACCAAATGGACCTGACCCCATTCACAACCCCAGGTACTTGCACACTTTTATATGTACATCATAATACTTTTTTTTACATCATAATACTAGTACTCCGTATATTATAGTGAGTACTGAGTAGTATGCAAGGTTCATATTATAGTGAGATCCTACCTTGGATTGGAAGGGGTCTAGGATATCGTAACTCGTGGATCGTAACTCGGATCGTAAGATCCTAGAAGCAAAGCTAGCATTCATATATTCACACACACATATACACACACATAATATTTAAACTGAAAACTTTTCAAATATTAATTAATTAATAACATAATGTCATTTACTCATTTTTTTAATGATATAAAATACAACACTTGGCAATTTAGCATCACAAGCTTAAGATTATTTAAAAAGACATCTTCAAAACAGATTAAAGTCATGCGGCTTATGCTTATCAATAAACAGAGTAAATAGAGAGGACGGACGAAGAACTGGAGAGGACTTGAATGAAGATTATACGGAGAACTGGAGATGGGACAAAGATTTTATCGAAGTAGGCGACACTGAAGGTGTCGCTCAGGTACGTTGCCTGGGGAGTAAAAAAATTGAAAACCTGCGTCGTTTCCCATTTCCCCAGGCCAAGATAGAGCCGCATTCTTTCCCAGGCATGAACGATGAAGATCGAGTGAGATCGACAATCCTACGTTTTTACGAGTTTAATCGGCGATCCAGTGATCTCCTAGCGTTTTCCAATCTTAGGCACGATCCAGCTCGACCTTACAAGCTTAAGTCGTAAAATCGTACAAGTTAGCGATCTTAATCGCGATCTTGATAACCTTGGTATGTAGTATGTATGTGTGCATTTACATTCGTAGCAATCCCGTAAGTGGTTTAGCTCAACTGGTCATTGACTCATTTTCCCTTTCGAGAAGTCTATGTTTTAAAACTTCATGTAGAGAGAAATATTTGCGGCCATTTTTACCCCATGGCCCCCCTACCCTAGCCTCCGGATCCTGACCCTTAAAAACGAATTGTTAACAACAACGATTCTATTAACATTATAGTCCGTATAAATTTTAAATAATCTATAAAGCAAACCATTAAAATCATGCATGTATGTGTGTGTTTGGCTATATATATAATATCCCATCATTTTAGAAGACGAGTTATATCCCATCTAGTACGTATTTTCTACTAACACCGGCCTATTGGTTTAACACAACATAGCTTATCCAAGATTTTCACGTAGACTAAATCAAAGTGGCAAAGTTCAGACTACCATTGCCGAGGAATTAATTTTAGGAAGAAATAATTTATTAATTAGAAAGAGGTAATTTTAATTAAGTTTAATTAATTAGATAAAAATTTGAATGTAGGATTATGCATAGTAAGATTATGCATAATTAGTCCACGTGAAATTAACAATCTATGGATTGAATAATGCGGTGGAGTTCATCTACATATATTTTAATTAATCTCGTTTTAGAATTTCAAATATGGATGTTATATATTCTCTCATACACTAGTTTTAACAATTTATGTCTTTGACTAATGTGGATGTCTAACAATTTTATCTTAAAGGGCCGCACCAAGCAGTGGTCCTTAATTTGGAAAAGCGACAATCAACCCTGAGAAGTGGGCTAGCTGAGGTCTGCTTCGCTCGGATCGACAACCAAGTCCAATGCAGTCCATCATATATGTAAATATTGATAAATATATATTATAATAATATTAAATTAATATATACGGAGTATGAGTAAATATATATCACCAATTCACCAGTGTTATTGATCTGTTCAGGCATTAATGTTGGTTTTGCCTTTTGTCAAAGTAAAAGCGTGATTATTGTAGTGTATTTTAATTTTTAATTTCAATTTTTCATCTCGTGTAAAAAAATGTCTTCGGACTTTAGCCTTTGTTCTTTTGAAGGAGTAGTTTCTTTGGTTGGAATTTCATCTGCCTTTACCACAACACCGACAATGATATCTTTACATTTTCTTAATAAGCGAGTCAAGTTAAAATGGAAGAAAATTTATGGACGAGCACAACATCATCTAGGATATATACTACTACCGCTGTCCCACTAAGATTGGGACAAGAAAATGTGGCACGATTATTAAGAAAAGTGAGTATGTGTGGTTGTTATTAAATTGATAAAGTAAGAATAAAGTAAAAATGATTTAAAGCCATAAAAACTTTACCAAATTTGGTATGAGACAATCTTAGTGGGATTTCCCGAAAAGGTGAAATGGGATAATCTTAGCGAGACGGAGGGAGTACAAATTAAATTCTATTAATGATTATATGATTGCAAATGAGACAATAGCATAAAGAGGTATACTGGAATTGGTCAAACAATATATACTAACACATTCGAATCTCTATTAAAATAACAGAGCATTGAATTTAATGTATCCCTATAAGAGCATCTCCAATGGTTAGCTAAACACATCGTAGCTTTGCTTGCCACATCATTTTTTCTAGCTAATCCATTTTTCAGCAATATGATAGTCCAATGGTTAGTCACCATGCTTGTCTCTTGAATATGCCCCACAAATCAATCAATTTTAAAATACACATTATGAGCGAATTGATTTATTAATATAAAAAAAATCGGCTATGACTTTGACCAACCATTAATCCAACGTCCAACAAGGGTGAAAGTGCATACTAAAAAAAGAAAGAAAAATTTGAACAATAATATGTATTTTGTTAAGTAAAAAAATAAGGAATAATTTTTTTAACAACACATACATATTATTCCTTATTTTTTTACTAACAACATAATATCTAGTAAAATTGTCAATCATTATTGTAGAGATAAAACTAAAGACATCAACGAAAAAAAGAGCAACGTAAAGAAACATAACGCGAAAATAAGACCATAAAGAATAAAACAATTGATAAATATTCCAAACTCCTTTTTTCAGTTTTCTTGAAATATCATCTTCCAAACTGTGGCGCATCGATCGCTCTAAGGCGGTGGTTCAGCAGGGGGCGGACCGCCAATCTCTCTTCTCCCTTACTCATCCCTATTCCACTCCCCGTCTACTCGTCACCCGTGTTGCCTTTACTACCTCCAGCACTCTTCACCCATGTTGATATACCAAAAACCAATCCCTCGACCTCCTACTCAATTGCTGGAATGGTACAACAATGTTCTAGATCATCCATATAACTCATGGTTATTCTTTCTTTAACTTGCACTAGATCAAAATGCAAAAGAAAAATTGATGCACAAAAGTGAGACATTGCACTGATCTCGACACGCGAGAGATAAAACCCTATCTCTCGACAAGCGAGAGAAAGAAAGTTTCTGAAGTAAAAAAAAAAAAACAGAAAGATCGTGCACCAAGTCTCCAACCATCGCCAAAGTCTTCTCCCTACCAAAGCCTGAACTGTCCTTGCGGCAGACCTTCGTTTGAATCAAAGAGCCGCACAATCAACTAAGGAAACCTTTGTAGCGGCGAGTGTTCCAAAGGAGTAGTAAGGATGTTTTTACTTGGACTGTTTTTCAGTCTCAGACAAGACCAGACTTAAACAGACCAGATCAGTTTAGACCAGACCAAACTTTCATAGCTATAAAATATACAGAGACCAGACGTTTACCAGACCAAACTAGACCAGTTCAGACCAGACCAGACTTAAACAAACCAAACTAGACCGGACCAACAAATTTCAATCCTAGTAAAAACATCCTAACTTAATATGGGAGTATTATAAAGAAAGAATGAAAAAAGTAATACCTCCAGCATCTCCTTAGGGAGTGTTTGCAACAACTTAAAAAAAACACTTCTCAGCTTTTGGCTTAAAAAGCACTTATTTACCAAACACTTCCAAGTTTTACTTTTTCTCGACTTGCGTGTGAAAGTGATTTTCCCTTTTCTATTACACAAAAAGCAACTATTTTACCAAACACTACTAACTTTTAATTTTCAAAATCATTTTTTTCTCAAACACTATCAACTTTTACTACTAAACACTTTTTCATTACATCTTCAAAAGTACTTTTTAAAGGAGAAGCAGTTGCAAAGTGCAAACACTCTCTTAGACAAAAATGGGGCCAATTTTAAAAGTGGACAACAATGACACCAATTATTAACAAATGGACCCAAATATCCCTAATCCGCCTCCTTGGTCATCGTTTCTTATTCTCATAGCGCACCAGCTCCCGAACACCATCTAAGCAGCTCTCTCCCTTCGCCCATCGCTCCATCGAACAACACATCTCCCTGCCTTCACATCATTCGTCTGTTTCTTGTTTTCCTATCGCACCAGCACCACCACATCATTCCATTCCTTCGCACCAGCACCACCACATCATTTTTCTTCTTCTCCGTCGACTCCTCCTTGGGCATATGTCGTCGCCCCATGTCTCCGCCCCACAGAGCTTCTTCTACTTCTTTGTCTGCGTTTCCAGATCTACGGCCAGGATCCGGCGATTAGGTTTTCAAAATTGGGTTGCATTCGGGAAACAGTGGCTAGGGAGATGGTGAGGGGGATGGGGTAGGTGCGCGGGTTGGGGAGGGGCATGAGCAGCTGGCCGTGTAACTCACCGGGGTTTCAGCGGTACCGATGGGTGTGGTGATGGAACATTGGAATGCGGTTGCACAGGGGTGGAGCTGCGGGTTGGGGTCTACGGTGGTCACTGGGGTGATGCGGGCGGGGGGGGGGGGGGGGGGCTGGGTGAGGCAGGAGGCTCGGGTGAGGCAGGGCTGGGATGTGGTGGTCGCTGACTTGTGTAGGAAGTGTTGATCGCCAACGGTGGCCGGTGCGGGTAACTATAAATAATCGAATTCGGTAATGGTAATTGACAGAATTGGATAATTATAATTGGTCAAAAATAATTATAGGTGGTGAATTAGGTAAGTGTAAATGTAACTGAACGGGTCGGGTAATTGTAACTGAACAGGACGGGTAACTGTAACTGAACAGGACAGGTAACTGTAACTAGACGGATCAGGTAACTGTAACTGGAAAACTCATGTAACTGTAACTGGACGAGCCGAATAACTATAACTAGATGATTGGGTAACTGTAACTGGACATGTCGGGTAACTGTAACTGACGATCGGGTTAGTGTACTGGACTGGCGGATGTTGGTCACTGACGGGTTGACATTGGTAACTAGGTAGAATTTTTGGGCACTATGATTTTGGTCACTGACGGATTTTTGGATTTTTTTTATCACAAATAATTTTTGGTCACTCACGAATTTCTGTCACTATATTGTTATTGGTCACTGTGGCATTACTGTAGCACTAATGGGTGAAATTGTATTAATATAAGAGTATAATAGTCTTCTAGCCAATGTTCTAAAAGGCGTAAGGCGTGCCGAGGCGGCACGGTCAAGCCTTAAGCCTTTGGAGCCTAGGCGGGATTAGGCGAGGCTTAGGCGTGAAAAAGCGTTTTGTTTTTTTATTCTTTATTTTAATTTTTCTTGAGCCATTTTGAATATTGAAATTTAATGTTAAATAATTTTATTCAAAAACATTGCACTTTTCTCATTTTCAATAAAAAAGACTTGTCGTGCCCTAAATCTAACAAATATGTAGTATAAATTTACCAATTACACAAAAACTTGAACTAAAAAAGTAGTTTAATGATAAATATAAATATTAATAAAAAGAAATAATGTCTAATATATGACCAAAATAAGGGCAATAAAAAAAATGTGACTTAATAACTATTAGTGATTATAATCACATTCAAACCACATTCAAACCTTTCATTGTACTAAATATAAGAATATATTTACAATTACTTTTATACATATTTTCATTCATAAATTTTATTAACATAATATTTTAGAAAAAATCTATTAGAAATAACTATGGCCTGGTAAGAGTGTTGAAAGAGTGGGTGTTCTTATCACACCATATATTGATATACTATTAGAAATGTCCCACACCGAGATTTTTTTCCTTCCCGTTTAAAAATGTAAAGTTGCATGTATTCCACTACGTTGAACAAGAGTCCCACACCGGAACTACAGATCCATTCTCTACCCCGTTATATCTATAAATAAAGAGGATCTTCATTGATGTTCATGTGCTCATTTAGTTATCGCGCCTCGGTCCGCCTATGTGGTCAACTATAGTGTTGACCGCTTTTTGTTACGCATAATGTGTATGCGGGGCGTTAGCTGGACGCCTCACGTCTAGGCCCGCTTAGGAGGCGCCTTTTGGCGTGTTTTAGAACACTACTTCTAGCCCATTTTTAGTCTCATTTTTGGAAAATAGAAAAAAAAAAAAGGTTCATTTTTTGTTCATAGCTATTTTTTTAGTATTATTATAGACATAACCCCGACCCTATTATAAACTCTCATACCTTAGAGAGGTCATTTATCTAGTTTATACCTTATAGTAGTAACTTAATACGGATTAAAAAAGTTTTAAGTAGAGTACCGATTTTTTTTTTTTTTTTTTTTTTTTTTTTTTTTTTTTTTGCGATCAAAGGAGTATATTAATAAAACAACGGAGGTTTACAATCCTCTTTCAAAAGCTCAACAATCTGGAAAGGTGCATCAAGTATTAAAATCATCTCTTCAGCATTATCCTTGACTAATTTAGCTAGTTGATGAGCTACCTGGTTACCCTCCCTTCTAACCAAACTGAACTGTGCATCAGAGAAAACAGAGACCAGGTCTTTCACCTCCTGTAGCAGAATTCCAAAACGTGAAGCATCTCTTCCTGGATTACACAAGCCGGTCGTGAGTGATGCACAGTCGCCTTCAATAATGATTGGCATGTTAATCTAGGCTTTACCTCAATACTCCGTACAAATTTTTCATCCTGATGAGGAACTCAAAAAATGAAACTTTCTCTTGTTTGGCAAGGGAAAAATGATACGAAATTGAAAGAATAAACACACGGAGTCTACTAAGCAACCTCTCCTTTAATGCTAAAAAGGAACCTATAACTTGACTTTTTCTTCATTTTTTCAAATTAATCATTTTTATGCTATATTTATGTACTCCATTCCTGTTTAACTTCTCTTTTGATTTGACATAATTGGTAAAAATGTGAACAATGTACAGTTATTACTCGTTTAGAGATGTGGCTGTTTACATACATCAACCAAATTAAAAACTTATTTCTAGAGATGTTCTTACTTTAATAATACTTCTCTCTTACAAAACCCTTTCATAATCCACTTCATTTCACACCATTTTATCTGTCCCATGATCTTTTCTCTCTTATTTCTCTCTTCTCACTTTCTTTTCCTACCGAAAAACTCAGAGTGTGTTCTCAAAGGAGATACTGAGATGGACAACAAGCCAAGCGTTGGGAGTAATGAGGTTTTAATACTAGTGGCTGTTTGTCTCCTCTTGTTTTTATCTGTAGGAATTATGGTTAATCACCACCAGCAGCAGAAATTAGCTAAAGATCACATTGAGATAATCACGATGATCATGATGATTATTGGGCCTCTCCCCCCTTGGGATATTGTAATGATTTGGAAGATGATGAGAAATTATTATTCTTTTCATCATTACTACCACACTTATAATTCTATCAACAACGTGAGCAGAAGACAAGTACCCAGTGGACCAAATCCCATTCACCACAAGTACATTTCTTATACTTTTATATGCTATTATAGGAATGCGTATATTTATATTTTTGGCATCTGACAACTATTGCAAACATATTACTATCTCCGTCCCGAATTGATTTGCAAATTTGACTTTTCTTGGTCAAATAATTGCGTTTTGTTCACTTAATTAGGATGCCAATTTTTTATTATATTGTAATTTGGAGTTTACAACTTTGAAGATATTTTGATGTAGTTTATGAATATGTAAATTTTATTCATTAAAAATCGAATTAATTATGCTTAAGGAGGGTTGACTTTTATTATTAGTTGACCAAAAAATGTTGACTTTGCAAAACAAATTGGGACAGAGGGCGTATATACTCCGTATACGGGTAAAAAATTTAGTAAGTAATGTGTATTTTATTATTTCATACGTAAAAATTCATTTTTATTTCAAAAAACTTTATTTCAAAAAACCAGGCAAAAAATGGAAATTGCCCCAAAATAGGAGTAAATAACTTTGGAAATTCCAAAATAGGACCATTTTTTTCCCGAAATAAGAGTCATATCGAAAAATACTGTCATGATTTAAAAATACTGACATTAATTATAATAAATACTCTCATGTTAAATGCATAGTACATGAGAGTATGCATTTAACATGAGAGTATTTATTATAATTAATGTCAGTATTTTTAAATCATGACAGTATTTTTCGATACGACTCTTATTTCGGGGGAAAAAAAATAATGGTCCTATTTTGGAATTTCCAAAGTTATTTACTCCTATTTTGGGGCAATTTCCATTTTTTGCCTGGTTTTTTTTAAATAAATACTGTCATTTTAGTCATATTTCGGGAAGAAAAACATAACAATCCTATTTTGGAATTCTAAACTCTATTTAGTCTGATTTTGGGAATTCTTCCGGCAAAAAATATACTTCCTCCGTCCCAGTATAAAGAATACATTTGCTTTTTCAAACATTTTTAGGAGTAACATTGTTGACACTGTTTGGCACTGTTTTGCATTGTTTTGTTTGCCAAAAAGGGAAATGTGCCTTTTATATTGGGACGGTCTAAAAAGGAAAATGTGTCTTTTATATTGGGACGAAGGGAGTATATTTAGAATATGAAACCACTAGGATTGAATGAACTACCCCATTCTAAAAAGGATGTGCTAAATATGATACAATAAAAACATGATATGCTAAACAAGTAGATGAAGTACAGTTAACAAGAAAAAATGATTCACGAAATTATTTGTTTAGCATATCATGAACTATCCCGTTTAATCAACCCGCGAAATAAAAAGTTGTGTTTAATAAAAAATGAAAAATAAGCTAAATATAGGAGTTACCAAACCGACTCTTAATTTTACTCGTCAGCTCATCCAAGATTTTCATGGGATTGGAAAGTGGATCACTAAATAAAGGAAAACAGATAACCCACATATAAATCGAAAAATTGCAAAGTTCAAGCTACAATTATAGTTACGGCTGTGCTCCGCGCGCCTTCATGATTGCTTTGCGCACCCATTTTTGTCAAATCTGGACAAATTTGTCCTTAAATGTTGCTAGGCGCACCACATTACCAAGCATCTCATGTTTTTTAAATGGGCCGTGCTTCTTTGAAATAAAAATAGGCTCACCACCTAACAATTTGAACATTTATTCTCCTCCAATAACTTGATGCCATGTGGCTAATTTTCCTTTTTTTATAAAATGTTTTAACTTTTTCAATTTTGCTCCTATTTTTATAAAAATTATATCAAATTAAATAATTTTTTATGATATTTCATTTGACACCAATATCATATATGTAAAAATTTTAAAAAAACATAGTCAATTAAAAAACACTGTCTAGTCTAATCTGATCTAATTCGATTGAATTTATCTGGATCGAAATCAGTTCAATTAAAAACATTCTAAATATCATTCACATCATAAATCTAGTCATATAACATATATGGTTGTAATGCAAAATCAACATGGTGCCGCTCGAGTTTTAAACGGCGGGGCCTCCACCTTCGAAATTAGTCAAGCAAATAAAAAATGAAAATCTTTTGGTTTACTAAGATTAAAAATGTTACTTATTCTATAATCCAATATAGAATTGCACAAAATTAAAAACAAAACATCTATGTTTTTGAATGAAAACGTATATATACGTGATCATCAAAATATTAATGAATATCGTATACTACAAACATAATGAAACACATAAAAAGAAGAACTGATATACAAATAGTGGGGCAGATGAATACCTCATAAGTCTAAAAATTAAGAGTACTATTTTTTAGATAATTTTTCAGATTCACCATCCATTATATAAGAAGATTGTAAATAGTTTATAAAAGCATTAATAATGAATTTCTAATATTTATATAGTTCTACCTCCCACTATGTTTGGAACAAAGAGGTGTGACACATCTTTTAAGAAAAAATGGAATTGAGTGATTAGTATTGAATTGATAAAGTGCGGATAAAGTAAAAATGAATTGTAATCACTCAAATCTAACCAAATATGGTATGAACAAACTTAATGAGACGGGAGGAAAATGCAAAACTGGACAAAATCACTTAATCAGGGGAGGCGTAGCTTGGTTAATACGTTGTGGTGCGGCCGATTTGACTAAGGACAAATGAAAAATGCAATAAGGCCCATTAAAATTAAAAATCAATATGGAGAGGCTTAGCTTGGTTATTAAGTTGTGGTGCGGCAGATTTGGCTTGGACATACTTGTCCAGATTTGATAAAAAATAGGTGCGCAAAGTAAAGTCGGAGGCGCGCCTAGCATCACCCTTATATTACCAAGGATTTGAAGAATAAGTATGGAGAATGCTTTAATTTTATCGTATGACTCATTATATGAAAATAAATGTTATAGCTGAATCCCCATCAAATAAACAATATATAGATGGAGTTATGCTTATATCTTGATTAATCTCGTGTTGGAGCTTAAAACGACAAATGTTATTGTGTAACATTATTTTTAGGGAAAAGTAAAGAAAATGTACTTGTGGTTGGGTCCGTTTTTAGATAGGGTCATGTATTTCATTATTTATCAAAGTGGTTCATGTATTTCAATTCCGTTATCACAAGAGGGTCACACCGTTAAAAACGTCTGAAAAAGACGGTTAAAAGTAACTCCGATTTTTAAAAGTGATTGAAAAATTAAAAGAAAAATACCGAAAGGTGAGCCTCAATAAGACGACCACTAGGCCATCTTTCTTTTTTGTTTTCAGCCACCTTTGTCACCGGAAAGTCCACCGAAAAAGTGATTATAGTGAAATCATTTTAAAAAAAATAATTCAAACAGATTCGAAAAATCCAAAGGCGAAGGTGGTTAGGAGGTCATCTTGATGAGGCGCACCTTTCGGTATTTTCTTTTAATTTTCCAGGCACTTTTGAAAATCGGAGTTACTTGTAACCGTCTTTCTCAGACGTTTTTAACGGTGTGACCCTCTTGTGATAACGGAATTGAAACAAATGAACCACTTTGATAAAGAGTGAAACACATGACCCTATCTGAAAACGGATCCAACCAAAGGTATCTTTTCTGAACTTTTCTCTTATTTTTATGTCTCTGTTTGTATTAAGCCTTTGACTAATTATGTGAATGTGTAACAATTTTATCTGAAGGGACATACCACATTGAGTTCTGGAAAAGCTTGAATTTAGGTGATGGATGAACGAAGGTTTGAATTGAATTCGTCGGAATCGAGAATTAAGATACAAGGAGTCGATCATTTGGAAATAATTAAGTTAGTATTTTGGCATGGACATATATATTGAAAATAAATTTCCATTTGGAATTGGATGTGTAAAAAAGTAGTTGAAATTAAATTGTTACGTAGTGTTAAATAATATAAAAAAGTGTGCATTTACTAAAATATTTGTGTCCATTAATGAGTTTTGTACTATTTGGGATGCTTTTACTTGGACTATAACTTGTTCCAGACTAAAACACAACATACCAGACCAGACTTGAATAATTATAAAATTACAAAGAAATCAAATCAGACCAGACTAACAAATTACAGTCAGTGGCGATCTTTCAAGTGCATTTTGACTAGACTAAAAAACGTTAATGTGGATAAATTTATTACGTAGTATAATTTAAAATTCAATAAAGTTATGAAATTATTCACAAGCAGTTATGTGTTTATCAGCACATAATTTATGTCATCATCGTTATTGGGGCTGAAACAATTTCAAATTTTATAAAAAGTTACTGCATATGAATCCTATATGAATCGTATCTTGATATATTTTTTATAATAATGGAGTGCAAATAAAAAAGTCATATGTACTATGCTAATATTTTAAAGGGAAAATCATTTTTCTCTTATGCCCCTCATGAATACTCTTCCGTGAGTAGTATTTCATTTCCCTTAATACCATTTTTTTGGAGATGGGTTAAGGGTTAGTATGACAAATCCCCCATCCAAGGCGTCGCTAACACATTTTAGCACTGTTCTATACGTATGTTTGGATTTGGATAGATTGTATTCCCTCCATCCCGCAAAATAGTACCCGATTTCCTTTTTGGACCGCCCCAAAGAAAAGTTACATTCCCTTTTTTGGAAAGCTTTGTGTGGTTCACATGCATTTACTTTTTTCTTACTCAACAACAACCATATATTTCCACTTTATTCGCATTTTCTTAAAATCCGATCGAAGTTAATGCGGGAACAATTTTTTGGGACATAACAAATTTTAGTTTGAAAAGCTCAAAATTGACTTCTTCGCTCCAAATATTGCGGCCAGCCCTATGCCCCTATATCTAAAAACTTATAAACACCAATGATGGTTAGGGCATTTTAGGAATGATAAAAATGTTGGTGTAACACTAAAGCAAGTTACACTTGTACAATTTGTTTTAGCTATTGTACCTTTCATCATTACTCCTATTTCGGCTACTTACTCCGTTACCAATTGTTAAGTTTACTATTAACATCCTATATGTGGCTTTCGTATTTTAATTATTCTATGTACTTAATGGTATTGATTCTTATGTAATGTTTTCATTCAATTTTTCATTTTAAATCTTTTTTCTAGGTCACCGTATATGCTATGTAGAAGATGAAATGCCCCCTTTTTATTATTATGGTGATTAATTACTAATATTATTTATTCTTATTGTTGCTGTTATTTGATATTATCATAAATATAAAAAAAATTATTATTATTGATATTAGTAAAATAATAACAGTAACTATATTATTATGATAGAAAAATCATTTTTTTGTAAAATTATATCTTCTCCCTTCGAAATGAAATGGCCAATGCCCAGCAAGGTTTCCGCTCATATTGCAAAATGATTACTTCAAAAGTAGCCTTTTGTGGCCCAAAATATTTGGCTGCATCTCTCTGTTAAGAGTTATTTTGTTAATCTTATTCTTATTACTTATTTCTTTTTCTTATTAGATTGATTTGTCAGAAATATCAGATTGAAGAATTCATATCAGATCAGAAATATTCAAACCATATCATATAAAAAAGACACAGTTCAGAAAAATTAAGACATGATTTATTATTATTATTATTATTATTATTATTATTATTATTATTATTATTATTATTATTATTATTATTATTATTATTATTATTATTATTATTATTATTATTATTATTATTATTATTATTATTATTATTATTATTATTATTATTATTATTATTATTATTATTATTATTATTATTATTATTATTATTATTATTATTATTATTATTATTATTATTATTATTATTATTATTATTATTATTATTATTATTATTATTATTATTATTATTATTATTATTATTATTATTATTATTATTATTATTATTATTATTATTATTATTATTATTATTATTATTATTATTATTATTATTATTATTATTATTATTATTATTATTATTATTATTATTATTATTATTATTATTATTATTATTATTATTATTATTATTATTATTATTATTATTATTATTATTATTATTATTATTATTATTATTATTATTATTATTATTATTATTATTATTATTATTATTATTATTATTATTATTATTATTATTATTATTATTATTATTATTATTATTATTATTATTATTATTATTATTATTATTATTATCCATATTATTATTATTATTAATATAATCCATATTATTATTGTTATTATCAATATGACTATTATCATTACTATTATTATCAATACTATTATGGTTATTATTATTATTTTTATTTATGATTACTGTTGTTGTTATCTACTACCTCCGTCCCATTTATATTGTCCCGGAAGAGGGTGACACGGTTATTAAGAAAAGTGGGTTTGTGTGGTTGATATTAATTGATAAAGTAAGAATAAAGTAAGAATGATTTAGAGCCACACAAACTTTGCCAAATATGGTATGAGACAATTTAAGTGGGACTTTCCGAAAAGGTAAAATGGGACAATATAAATGGGACGGAGGGAGTATATGTTATTATTATTATTATACGTATAAAAGCATAAGTTCTTGCTATTAATATTTGAAAAATAATAATAACATTATTTCCAAATGCCAAGATCATAAATTAATACTACGCATGTTTTAATTTCCTTTAAAAAAATTACAGAGGCATAAGTGTCGAATGCTTTGTTTATGTGTACAAACATATACGTAGTATGATAGTATATGCTTACTATGAACGGGAGATTGTTGATTATCACTGCCGTCACCCCCAACTCCATCCCAAATAATATTATAATAATTAACTATCAGATCACTGCAATACTTTATTTTATATGCTTATCAAAGAGGAATATTGACCTATTGAATCAGAAGCATTATTGACTTTACCTCAGTGGCACAATCAATTCAAATTAATTATTGCACATGCCTCTTAGTTACTACATACGATAGTATTTAGGGCTATTGGACTCAAACATCAAACAACTCAAATATGTTATTCATTAACATTCCATTATATTAATCTTGTCATAATAATTTTGGGCATTTTCCCTTCGCGCATCGCGCGTCGTATCACTAGTAGACAAAACAAATCTGAATGACCCGTAACTCCTCGTATGATGTGAAATCTTATTTCCTATCAAAATCATCCAACCATTTAACCTACTTTTAGGGGCCAAATTAGCAAATTGGAGAAAAAAAGGTCATTGGACAGATTGGTAAAAGAAAATCACTTGAGACAAATTGGTAATAAAAAAAGAAGGCCTAGTGATAAATTGGTCAATTTTTTGTGAGTGATAAACTTTCGATCCTCGATTTTAGAATTTCCGACATTTCATATTCTAAGTATTGTGAATTTGACAGTTGCAATCATTTTACTTTAATTTTGTCATCAAAAGTGGAGGTCAAAAAATGTTAATGACCGTGTTTGATAATATTAGTTGTCCGCTAGCTTATAACCGGTTGAATCAACAGATTGATATTAGCGGATTCGTTAACTTTTTAACTAACCACTTTCATTAGCGGTTTGAAATAAAATGTTAGTAACTTAAAATTACAATTAGTTTTTCAGACGTAAAATGACCATTAAAAATAAATTTAAAAGTTCACATATTTAAATAAATTTTATTTCTTTTTATTTTTAATAAATTTTATTTCTTTGTAAAAGTTATGTTTACATTTATTTTAAACAATTACTAATAGTATCATTTTTAAGATATGCACATTAACGCGAGCACACACATATAAATTCATATATTTTTAGTAATAATGTTTTTAATATGACTATTTATTAGTTTTTTTAAAGTCTACTCCATTTAAAAAATATACCCCAAAATTCTACACCATATGACTATTTATTAGTTTTAAAAAAATTACTCCACGTTATTTAAAATAAATGTAAATATAATTTTTAAAACCTTTTCACTTTTTAAAAATAAAATAAAATAAGTGAAGAGAAAATATATACTTTTAAATTCATATCTTTAATTGTCATTTTACATCTTAACATTTAATGTAAGCTGTTGGTTAAAAAAGCTAACGGAATCCGCTATTGTCAATATGCTGATTCAACCGGCTATTAGCTATCACACAAATGTTAATTATTATCAAACACGATCATTGACATTTTTAGACCTCCGCTTTTGATGACAAAATCAAAGTAAAACGACTGAAAATGTCAATTTCATAATACTTAGAATATGAATGGTCGGGAATTCTAAAGTTGAGGATCAAAATTTATCACTCAGAAAAAATTGACCAATTTGTCACTCGATCATTTTTTTTACCAATTTGTCTCAAGTGGTTTGTTTTACCAATCTGTCCAATGACCCTCTTTTTCTACCAATTTGGTAATTTGGCCTACTTTTAGGCTATGTTGTAAAAACTGACGAGTGATCGGGTCAAGGGTCAACCCGGACCCGGGGGTCAACCCAGTCAATAACCGGTAAACCCGGTCAACACCATATTACATATATGTGTGTGTGCATAAAAAATAATTCTCCATCATTATTAAATTTTGACAATACTTTATAAACATAGAAAACTATTAATCTCAAATACACAATTTTTAACCAAATAATGAAAGCTTTTCAAATTAGAGAAATAAAAAAAGTTAGTATGAACTTAACATTAATTACAAAATATGACCAATATTGTATAATAATGTTTTTCAATTATATCTAAAAAATTATACATAATCAGGAAATATAGTGATTACTATACTATGTTAATGGTACCATGGATTCGGACCATGTCCCAATTACATAATTCAGCCCATAACGGGATTAGCCTAATTAACAGGATTAGCCCATAAACGGGATCAAGCCCTTAACGGGATTAACCTAATTAACAGGATTTGCCTATAAACGGGATCAAGCCCATAAACGAGATTAATGTTCGAATATACCGCCAGACCCAAATAGGGATTAGGCCCACAATAGGAACCCACAGCCAGGCCGGGCTGCACAGC